TAATAATAATAATAAATAAATTTTATTTGTTCATTTATTGTTCCAATTTATATCCTGCCCTTCCTGCAAAGAAGAAGAAGAAGAGATTGGATTTATATCCTGCCCTTCACTACCCAAAGGCGTCCCAGAGCGGCTTACAAACTCCTTTCCTTTCCCACAACAGACACCCTGTGACTGAGGTGGGTGGGGCTGAGAGATCTCTTGAGTGAAACTGCTCTTTTTCAAGGACAGCTCTTATCAGAACTATGGCTTGCCCAAGGTCATCCAGCCAGGTGCAAGGGGAGGAGTGGGGAATCAAATCCGTTTCCCCCAGATTACAGTCTGCACTCTTAACCACTACACCAAACTGGCTCACTAATGCAGTAAAATTAAGACAGCGTTCCAGTAAAATTCCACAGAGGTTAAAGGTGTTTCCAGTGTGACAAAAGGGAAGCAGCCTAGATGGGTTTACTTGAAGGCAATTAAATCACCCACTTCCCCAGGCCTTTGGCCTGATCGAACATTGACGTTGAACTGCAGGCTGGAAGGTTGGTAGTTTAGCAGTTCGAGACCTAAGTGCCGCAAGGCGGAGTGAGCTCCCATCTCTGGTTCCAGCTCCTGCTAACCTTGCATTTCGTAAGCAAGAAATTGCAAGTAGATAAATAGGGACCGCTTCGGTGGGAAGGTAACAGCATTCCATACGCCTCGGCGTCTAGTCATGCCGGCCACATGACCATGGAAATGTCTCCGGACAGCGCTGGCTCCGGCTTGGAAATGGAGATGAGCACCGCAACCCTAGAGTTATTAAATGTAGTCCCCTCCCTTATTTCTGTTATAGTTTGTAGTTTTAATTAAAAATGCAATAAAAATTCCTCATTGGGGAGCAAAACAACAACAACAACAAAAATCTGATGTTTATTCTGTGTGGGGCTTCTGTTGAGCAGGTTCGGCCACCCCTGGGCTAGATGGCCTGCAGGGCCCCTTCCGATTCTGTGATTCTAGGATTCTATCTCCCAAGATTTATTTTTTATTATATTATTTCCATTTATATCCCACCTTGCCAGACGCGCTGGCTCAAGGCGGCTAACAGGGTTAAAATAACATTAAAAATACAGAGATAAAACAGTTAAAAACACAAGACCGGTTGAAACAGCAACAGTTAAAGATTAAAACCAACAGATGACGGTGATAATCCAAATCACACCCGATGATAGGAGTAGCATCCAGCAAGGTCTCAGGCCAGAAGATGTTCTAAGTTTCAAGCCAGAAGATGTTCCAGGGCACATTCGTCAGCGGCGGCTCCTAATCGAAAGCCTGGTGGAAGAGCTCCGTTTTACAGGCCCTGCGGAACTGCAAGAGGTCCTGCAGGGCCCTGATGTCCTCCGGGAGCTCGTTCCACCAGTATGGAGCCGCCACTGAGAAGGCCCTGGCTCTGGTGATATTCAGCCTGGCTTCTTTCGGTCCAGGGAGGGTCAAGCGGTGTTGCGACCCTGTCCTCAGTGCTTATTGGGGCACGTGTGGGGAAAGGCGGTCTCTCAAGTAGGCAGGCCCCTGACCATATAGGGCTTTAAAGGTTAAAACCAGCACCTTGAAGGACTTGTTGATAGTGTTCCTCATGAAATCAGGCTGGTCTGAACGATCAAAGGCCCTTCGTGGTCAGCAGGGGTCATTTCGTAGAAAAAGAGGTGCAGGAGCTCATTAGCATAACTCATTAGCATAACTCATTTGCATGCGCCACACCCCCGGACATCACCGCAAGTGTGTCAGAAGGCAACACCCATCGCTCAGGCTCCACTGGACTGTTTTGGATTGCTAGCTATTGGGGGGGGGGGAGGAATGTGCAGATCTTTCCTCGCAGAGGAGGGAGAGCTTGTACCTGAATAAAACTTGGTCTTAAAGGTGCCACTGGACTGTATTGGACCAGGGAGCTGGGGGGGGGGGAGCTCTGCAACTTACCTGGCTGCTTCTTGCTCTGACTGAGGGCTGCTGGGAGCAGGGGGTGGGGCTTGTTCAATGTTCCTGCCCCCTGGGCTCTTTACTGCCGGAGCTTCGCTCCTGTGCGCTCCTACAGGGAATGATCCCTGGTGGTCAGGGACCCACATACCTTCGGGACCGCCTCTCTCGGTATGCCCCCAAGAGAGTGTTATGCTCAGGTAGCAAAAATCTCCTGGTGGTCCCCGGCCCGAGAGAGATCTGGTTGTCCTCAACCAGGGCCAGGGATTTTTTGGCCCTGGCCCCCACCTGGTGGTATTCTGTGCCCAAGAACATCCATGCCCTGCGAAATTCCTCGCCATTTTGGAATAGCCCATTTTATTTACTGATTCTGTACCGTCTTTTATTATTGCTTTTTACTTATCTATTATCTCATTCTGTTGTCGGCTGCCTTGGCCCTGCTCGCAGGGAAGGGTGGCCTAATAGTCCAAATAATAATAATAATAATAATCCAGGTCAGGGCAAAAGTGCCATGAAGTCGCAGCCCACTTACGGTGACTCCGTAGGGTTTTCAAGGCAAGAGATGAGAAGAAGAGTGATTCTACCCAAAGGAGTCTCAGAGCGGCTTACAAACTCCTTTCCTGAAAAGTACGCAGATGGAGAGTGATTTCAGCAAAGCGTACTTTATTCGATTAGGAACAGGACAGCTTTTGCCGGCTCGCAGGCAGGTTTATATTCCCCGTGAAACCGCCACCCATAACACCCCCCCCCACTTCCCAATAGGTTATTTACAGGGGCCGAGAGTTCTATAGGCTCTCGGCCGGGACCTAGCTCCCTGATTGGTGCGGGCTAGGATCCGCATAGTCTGTTGTCTCTAAGAGCGAAGCTCGACATTTGTGCTTGACCACGTGGAGCCCTAGCCAGCCACGCAGTCTGACTGGATATATTACATTTTCCTTCCCTCCCCACAACAGGCACCCTGTGAGAGAGGTGGGCTGGGAGGAGGGGGCGGGGGTCGTTGCATGTGACCGCCCCCTGGGCTCCTTACTGCTGGAGCTCCGCTCCTGTACGCTCCTGCAGGAAATGACCCCTGATCTGCAGGGCTATCTCAAGCGACGATCAAGAGAAAGGACCGCAGGGCAGAGACAGAGTCTCTGAGGCTCTTGTGGGGTCACAGGGGGAGAAGGCGGATGGTCTGGAAAACTGCTGCAAAATATTAGGGGAACGGGGGCCATGTTTATACGGTATAAATGCTGGAAGCCGGGCAGCTAGTGGGCTCCAAGGCCAGGATTGAGTTGGAGCTAAAAAGTTTGAGTTCCGTGGACCAATTTGGATTTTGCCCTGACCCAGATGGCTCAAGCTAACCCGACGTTGTGAGATCTTGGAAGCTAAGCAGGATGGGTGACCGGCCGCCCAGGTGTTAATACACAGAGGCAGGCAAATGGCAAACCACCAGAGCCAGTCTGGTGTCGTGGTTAAGTGCACGGACTCTAATCTGGGAGAACCGGGTTTGATTCCCCACTCCTCCACTTGCAGCTGCTGGTGTGACCTTGGGCAAGCCCTAGTTCTTACAAGAGCTGTTCTCTCAAGGGCAGTCCTCAAAAGAGCTCTCTCAGCCCTGCCTACCTCACAGGGTGTCTGTTGTGGGGAGGGGAAGGGAAAGGAGTTTGTAAGCCACTCTGAGACTCCGGCTGATTTCACACTAGAGCTGCCTCGATGTTGCGCCGTTTTTTGAGGATCCCGAAACTGTGGAGGAAATTGGGCGAAGCCGCGGGTCAAATGCATCCCCACGGCTTCGGGTGTGAAATTGACCAATAGTATCAGGGCAAACGGCGGCGCAACATCGAGGTAGCTCTGGTGCGAAATCAGCCTCCGAGTGAAGGGCGGGGTATAAATCCAATCTCCTCCTCCTCCTCCTCTTCTTCTTCCTCCTCTGAGGATGCCAGTCACAGTTACTGGCAAAACATCAGGTCCTACAGTGCCAAGACCACGGCCACACAACCCGGAAAATCTACAGCAGCCAATGAACTCCGGCCGTGAAAGCCTTCGAGAACATATTAAATGTT